TTTTCCCACAGAAAGGAGAAACCTGCTCTGAAAGCAGAAAGCGCATTCAACACATCAAACATCGCTGCTTGCACAATGCAGGAAGAGCATCACTGTTTCAAAACCTATATCATGATGCAACCTTCTTCCCTCCCATCGTCAAGCAGATGGCCACATGTAACCCAGCACATCCCATTAGGGCTTACTTTCGTTGCTGAGAACATCCAAGTTTAGCCTGCTGGTGCTGTATGGTGAGTTGAGACTGAGTGTAAGGCAGGCTTGATGGGCCCCTCTGCTTGCAGGCACAACATCCCTCTGATGGGCTTTCCCAGTCCCGATACTCTCAGAAGGGATATGGACACAACTGCCAGCAGCACATGGAGAGAAAGCAGCAGAAGGGGCAACAACACAGACCCTCAGACTCTGCTACCATGCAGGTGGGGAGCACAGTGGGGAGCACTGGCATGCAATCCAAAATGAAAATGTCACTGGATTTACATCAAGGAGCAACCGGCCTGTCAGCCCTGGAGCCTCAGATCCACCGCTTGAGCCAAACCCCAGGTCCAAAGGAACCATCCGGGGTTGCTTTGCTGATGGCCCCAGGCTCAGAAGCAGGACTTGGAGACTACTAGGGAGGCCTCTGGATCCACACACTCTCATTTGCCAACATGTCAGTTAAAAACCTAACAAAGGGCAAGTAAAGATGAGTCTGCAGTTCCGTTTGTTAGATGTGGACAAGGGAGAGGCGATCACAGCCCTTAGCTCGCCACAGATGTTCCCTGTGTCCCTGACCTTTCTGGTTGTCCCAAGCTGGCATTGCAGTGCCTCTCTCTGTGGTAAAGCAATTATCCTGCTTATCTTCTGCCCTGCAGAATTGTGGTTATCTGAAAAAGCTAGTCTATGTTGTATTTTTTTAAATTTTCTTTTTAAGTCTGTGTTAAAGATGGCTTTTGGAAGCATTCTGAGGAGAATGGCAGGTACCACAATGAACAGATCACACTGATTTTCCACCATTTCCCTTTTGCCCTGGGCAGTGAGTCAGGCCTGCTCTCAGACAGTTTGTGGAAGAAGGCAAGCCTGGAAAGAAAGAGGTGGCTATTTCTGCAATGAAGTCTTCTTTCTCCAATAAGAGACCAAAGTCCAGTGCTCCCTGCAACCAAGTTGCTTGCCCAGAGGCGCTTCTTTTGCTGCCATGTCCAGAACTTGCTTCAGCCAAGCCCTTCAATTCCTCTCCCACTATTCCACACAGGATCTCATGTCTAGGCAAAAGCCTCTGCAACTGGCTTTGCTCAGGCTCAGGCTATACTTGCAGCTGAAGCTCTCACCAGCTGTGCTGCTCTGGACAACACGGAGGGATGCCATTACCACGGGATGTCAGGCAAGAAGTGAGGGTCAGCCTAGCCGGGTTAGATGGAGAGAGCAAGGCCCTGTCCTGCTGAGGGCGAAGGAAGTGCAGAGCCAGAAGCATCTGCTGCTGCTGGTGCCCATTCCCTGCTGCAAACATCCAGCCAGATGAGCACAGCAGCCCTGAGTATCCTGAAACAGCGACTGCTTCCCTCACACATGCACCAGGGTCACGCACCGCTGCCTCAGCAGCACTCCTCACCGAGCTGCTGGTCCCAAGCAGACCTCACGTGGTGTTTGCTGCCCCTGCTTTGAATGCCCCTGTTATAGTAGATTGTTATCTTTGTCACTGGCCAGTGACAGACATGCACCTGGGGACTGAGAATTGGGGTAAGCCCAGAAATATTCCCCACTCAAATAAAAAAAAATCCTGCTCTCATTACAGAGAAAAAGGTGCTATTAAAAGAATGAGGGACTGTTAAGAGTTTGGCGCTGTTGCAGAATGAACATGTTTTAGAGACCCAGAAGGTCCTGTTGAAAGGCACCTTTGAACCTTGGGGGGCAAAAAGAAGATGAATAGGAGAGGTGAAAAATGAGAATTCTAGATGTTCCTTTACAGTCCCATTTTGGGGACAGCTGTAGGGTGTAGAACTCTGCTCTGACCCAGCCATGTTTAAGAAGTGTACTATGCATTTTTAGTGCTCAACACCTGGCCTGAAGGCCTCACATAGTTCTGAGGAAATATCCCACAGGGTCTAAACCAGTATGTAGCTCCAGTGCTGCAGTGCTGCCCTTCACAGCCCCTCTGAACAGCAGCCCTTAATCCTGGGCTCATCTAGAAAGGTACATTTTTTTAGTCAGAAAGAATTACCCTTTTTTTTCCAGATGAATATAAAGGAAAATTCTGAGTCTAAGCAAATGCTAACCACAGTGTCCAACACATGGCAGGGGCATGCCAGCAAGATGCTCCAAGGTGGTGCTTTCCAGAAGGCATATCCTGGCCACTGGTCCAACGCAGCGTAAATTTTCATTAAATATTTTTCATTAAAAAAAATACAACAAAACCCCCAGAATGGTGCAACACAGTAAGTCTTTAACTCTTTGCACGGCTCAGCACTAGAAGGCCATTATTGCAAAGGGGGAGCAATCGTGCCCACCTCCCCATGCCATGGGCTCAGTCAGGGCAATGCTTCTCTGCAACATCTTGGAGCTGGAGGTGCTCCCTGATGGAGAACACTCTCCTTGTCCACTTGTGGGCATCCCATAGGACTTAATCGAGGAGATCCCTTGGGGATCAATGCATGCATTGATCCCAAAGCCTGAAGACTGCTGCTCTCCCCACCCGTGGTTTGCAGGCTCCTGCTGCTGGTTCCTGCTGCTGGCTCCTCGTCCGCTGTCTGTCTGTGAGGAGCCCTCAACATTTTTCTATGATATATCTCAGACATCACTTAACTGCACTGTGCACCTTGGTTTCATTTTTTAGGAAGCTGAAAGAGTTCAGGAAACAGGAAGCAACAATGAGATCCAAACATCCCGTGTCACAGGCATTTTTTTGCTGACATAGAGGTGTTCTCCCATCTTCCTGTGCTTTTGAGGAACCCTGCAACTTTCCTCTCTGCTCCTCTGCCCTTCAGGCTGGAGTAGAAGACTGCAAGTCAAAACTGGGAAGGATTTTCCCTCTCACAGGCCCAAACCTTAGGAGAGAAAACCCCCACTTTGCTTTTAAGCATTGCACCAACCTAAATAAATTCAGAGCTGTTCTAGAGAAAACAAAATGAAGCAGAGAAGCAGAAAAGGTCACCAGGCACTGCTGGCAGTGTTGCCACACTGTCAGCTTCTTTTCCCACTTCCTTTTCTGTTACTATTTTCTTTACCAGATGCTTCTCAAACTCCACATTTGTAGCAGGCTGCAGAGGCTGTCCACATGAATGGGCATGGCATACCAAACTGCTCCTGCACAGCACTGTGCTCTCAGCTACCTGAATTCCCCCAGGACCCCACTCCAGCCCTCCGCTCTCACTTGCCCCCAAATTCCCCAGGGACTCTTCTCTGACCCAGCGCTACATTTGTGATTGCCCTGAAATCCCCCAGGGCTGCAGCTCATAAAATACCATGGCTTTCTCTCATAGGCATCCAGGGGGGATTTTTTTTTCCCTTCATGTAAGAGGTGCTGCTGCCTTCGGAGGTAAACTAGGGCTCTGGAGATCTGGCACGCAGAATATCAAGTGACTGCCAGTTGGTAAAAAAATTTGTCTTCCACAAAGTGCAAGCCCAGCCATGCTCTGTCCTGTTTCTTGCTCCTGATTTGTGCTCCTGTCTCTTCCTCATCCACTGACTAGATTCCCTCAGCCACCTAGCCACCATCATCATTAAAAATGAAGGATAAAGCAAGACAGTGGGATCACCAGGCACCTCAGGACACTACATAAAGCAGCACCATGGGACACGGCAAATACCAGACCTGGTTTGGGAGAGGTTGGGGTCACCAGGGAGCTGAGCTGGGCCACGCTGGGGCTGTGGGGAGAGCACTGGCCCCAAACACCAAAGGAGGTTGTCTCACTGAAGGAGATGGTCTAGAGAAGAGGAGGCTTAAGAGAGACCTCATCGCTCTCTATAACTACCTGAAAGGCTCTCTACAACTATCTGAAAGGAGGTTGTAGTGAGGTGGGGGCTAGTCTCTTCTACCATGCCTACAGTGAGAGGACTAGAGGAAATGGCCTTAAGCTGAGACAGGGGAGATGTAGATTAGATATCAGAAAAAAATCTTTTGACTGTTCGGGTGGTCAGGCGTTGGAATAGGTTGCCCAGGGAGGTGGTGGGAGTCACCATCCCTGGCGGTGTTCAAGAAATGTCTGTTTCTGGCACTGGGTGATGTGGTTTAGTGGGTTAGGGTGGTGATGCTGGGTGGATGGTTGGACTGGATGATCTTGAGGGTCTCTTCCAACCTCGATGATCCTATGAGGGGGCAGGCACATGAGCAAAGGTAAAGGCTGGAGAAAGGAGGGGAAACACAAACCAAGGCCGGGGAAGAAAGGTCTGTCCCCAGAGCAGACACCGAGAGGGGGCCCTGCTCCCACCACCCCGCAGGGGCTCAGCCAGCAGGAGGGAGGGAAGGAGGGAGCCGCTCACGCAACCCGCGAGCAGGGGAAACGCTCAGAGCGCCTTTCATTTTTACTCCATTTTATTTTATTTTTTTTTTTTAAATTAAACAGCCCGTTTCCGAGCGGTGACTTCACCTCCCACGTGCCGGGAGCCCCGGCTCCTGAGGGCGCCCAGGACCGTACCGAAAATGAAAGCGGACAGAACCCGCCCCGGGCCGACCCTCCGCCCGCGCCGTGACGGGCCGGCCGCGGGCGGGGGGGTTGTCAGGGCCGGCGCCGCGGGCCGGGGGACGCGTCCCGGGCCGAGCGGGGGTGCCGAGGCCGCGCCGTGCCCCATGTCGCCGGGCCGCCGGTGGCTGGCGGGCCGGCACAGCCTCCGCCGGTACCTGCTGGCCGCGCTGGCGGCGCTCGCCGGCCTGGGGGCGCTCGCAGGGCTCGTCGCGTAAGTACCCGCCGGGGCCGGGCAGGGGCCGGGCAGGGGCCGCGGCTCCCCGGCTCGACCGGCCCCGCCGTCCTGCCCCGCCTGCGCTTGTCCCGAGGGAAGGCGAGGAGCAAACGCCGAGCTGGGGAGCGGGTGGGAGCTCTGCCTGTGCCAGCACCCGGCTGTTGCAGGCCCGAGGAGCGGGGCCGGGCGTTACCGCCATGGCCCGGGCCTGCCAAAGCAGAGGAGCTCCGCATCGCCTTACCCCGTACTTACCCCATACCTCCCTTGCTTTTGTACCCTGGGGATCAGCCTTGCCTTACTTCCATACTTACCCCATAAAACCCTTGGTTTTGTAGTCCTGAGGGTCCGCCCCTCCTTACTTCCACACTTACCCCATAAATCCCTTGATTTTGTACCCCTGAGGGTCAGTCTCACCCCATACTTACCCCTTAGATCCCTTGCTTTTGTAGCCCTGAGGGTCAGCCTCTCCTTACTTCCATACTTACCCCATACCCCTTGCTTTTATACCCCCGAGGGTCAGTCTCACCCCATACTTACCCCTTAGATCCCTTGCTTTTGTACCCCTGAGGGTCAGCCTCTCCTTACTTCCATCCTTACCCCCCACCCCTTACTTTTGTCCTGAGGGTCAGCCTTGCCTTACCCCAGAGTACAAAAGTCGCTGGGTGCAGTTCTGAGCTGGCTGCCCTTAAAAGGGTGGGGAACATGGTTGTGGTCACATAAGCTGCACACGCTTCTGCAGTCCTGCCCTTGGATCTCGACCTTTCAGCGAGGTACGAAACGTGGCATTGTCTTGGGCTGCTGCCACCATCCCAGCAGGACATGTCTGGCTGCCCCTGGCCCAGAGCTGGCCTGTCTGGGAGTTGCCAAGCACTTACAACAGTGGGTGCACAGGGAAGCATGTGCTGTGAAGAAAGAGATCCTCCGAGTGAGACGTAGGTGCTAGGCAGGATATCCAGCCTGCTGGAGCTTAGCAGTACAGGCCTGTACTGAACTGGGAAAGACTCTATTTTCAATGTCTCTCTCTCTTTTTTTTTTTTCCCCCTCCCATAGGGTTTTCTATTTTGAATCAGTCCGGGGGCAAAAAACGTCTCTTAAGAAGCTGGAAAACTACGTGGCATCGATGGTGCTCAGCGCAGTTGCTGACACGCTGGGCTATAACAATGGGAAGTGGGAGTTCCAGCACAGTGGCCCAGCCATCCACAGGGAGCTGGCAGAGCTGGGGGGGCTCGGCAACTTGAGCATCGAAGGTTGGAGAGTCAGCGATGACACGGTGATGCACTTGGCCACGGCCGAAGCCCTCCTAGCTGCTGGACGTCACCCCAGGCTAGAGGATCTCTACTCTCTGCTTGCAAAGAACTACAAGGAGTGCATGAATGACATGGAGGGCAGAGCTCCAGGTAACCCCTCCATCACACTGTTTGGGCAGGGCTGTGCTGTCGCTGGTGTCTCTCCTGCAGCTTGGAGCTGAGGCTGGCCCTGGCCCTGCTTCTGGCTGTTCACAGCGTTAACTGTATTTCACCTAAAGGCAAAAGTGTTCCACGCTCAGTATCTGTTTCAGGATGAGCTAAAGAGGACAGCATAAGGCAAGCTGGAGTGGTTTGGGCTTCTCCTGAAGTAGGTGAAAAAGATACTGTTTTGCCCATGTTTACAGAACATTCTTACAGGTGTGTTTGAGGCCTAGCCTTGAACGCAAGGGAAGGGTGATGGCTTTTGCACTGAGGATGCCTACACTCAGTGGATAAAAAAATGCAAATCCAACCACGTGTAATGCACAGCCTGAAATGCTGTGTTAATGCAACACATTTAAACAGATAATTAATACAGAACTTCTCATAAAAAAATGCAAAAATTCCATGCAAAATATAATTAAAGTCACAAAGATCTTTGCTTGGAGTAATTATGTTTATTAAACCCAAAGTCTGCTTTTGGCTTGCTTGGCACATCTACTTTCTGCGACAGGATAGTCAGGCCACAGTCTTCTTCCCTGAACCCTTTATTTCCAGCATCTCTCTTTTCTCTGCCTAGACACAGTGGTGCTGGGTCTGTGTCACAGGCAGTGGGCCTGGCACTATTCAGGAAGGGCACCTTCACAGGCTGCAGTAGTCAAGCCATGTACAACATATCCCTGTAGTTCCTAGTTCAGCCAGACCTGCTGACCCAACTCTTCCCCGAGGATCCTGTCTGTCTCTGTGCTCATGGCCCATCCTGTTCTGGATGCTTGAATTAAACTGGAGTGCTGAGGCTGGACCTCTAATTTGACTAGTGCAGGAAGCGTGAAGTATCCTGGAAACACTCAAATTCAGCAATCCTAGGCAAAGTTTATACATTGGAATTGTATGTATGCCTGGACCTGCTTATTTGGAGTGGCCAGAATACATGAAGAATGTTCTTGCTTGACATTAAACATGGGAAAGGCCAAATCCTGCATTGCCACTGAGCATTTCCAAAATAAACCACGTTGGAGACTTGAGCAGGAATTTATTCTGCTTACCTTTCCACAGTGACCTCCTACCCATGGGTAAAGAATTAAATTATCAGTCTTCTTTAACACAGGTAGTTCCAGTTGTTGGCCTAATTAATAAAATATTTAGGAAGGAGTAATGATGCTTGTCAGGATAGCAGGAGTTGGCAGGTTAAAATTCCAAGAGATCCACTGCTGTTTTGGCAAAGGAGCATCATTTGGTTTCCCCAGCTGATGGGGTCTGCCAAGGTGGACTAACCACAGCAGGGAGTGAGACAGCACATGGAAGGTATTTTCACCTCCACCATCTAAGCTTGGTGACTAAACCCTGAAATGAAAAGAAAAAGGACCTAAAGTTTAAATGTTAGTAATTAGTAGCTAAGGATAATAGCACACCTGCTGCGGTCCTTCTGGGAGTAACTGAACAGCAATATGCCCAAAAGCAGCTCCCATTTGGAAGTGAAGAATTTGAAAGCAAATTTGCTATGGACACGGAGTGGAGTGACAAGGAAAGGTCAGGTTATCTAGCTAAAGAAAGAAATGCACATTCTTTAGCGGGTCTAAGGACACTTGAACACCGTAAAAGTTTGGGGGAAGTGGGGAAAGAAATGTGGAAAAAAATGGAAGTCTGTTGGGAATGTTTTTGCAGCAGCCTTCCGTATTGTTCCTGATGCAGCCACAGGAAAGGCACTCAGTTCTGAGAGCTTAAATCCTGACCCTTAGCAGTTTAATGCCCACTGATGTGCTATCAAAGGGAATACCTAATCCATATCCTCAAAAGCTGTCTGCAGTCTGGAGTCTCCATGCCGTATTGATAGGTCCTGATGATAGAGGTTGCATGCCAATAACTTCTTTTGGCAGCTCAGAATAAATGGATTTTAACTGAGAACATAAACCATGGTGGTGCTGTTCTGGCCTAAGTAAGTGCTCACTGGGGAATTGCAGCCCTGAAGGCTGAGAATGGAAAGCTGCTGTTGGAACTTTCATCAGAGAAGAGAGTTCCCTGTAATAGTAGGGGAAAGTCACACTGATCGCCCACGAGGGAGCCCAGACCTGAAAACCAAAACCTGCAGAAACAAAGGGATTCCCACAACGTTATGAGTCATTGGACAGCCACAGCAGAGTCCCTCAGGGATGCAGCCCCAGAAGTGAAGTCGTTATTGCTATTCGTGATGCACCAAACCCCCAAATTCATTGTTCCTTGCAGATTACAAAACCAATGAATTAAGCAACACAAGCATGGAGGTACTTCTTTTTTCATGGTTCAAGTTACATCTGCCTCTCCAGGAGGCCTTCTGCTTCAAAACTCTGTCTTTCAGTCCAAGTCCTCTGCCTGTGGAATTATTTACCACTATGTGGTTAACTCACCTTTTTTTCAGTGTATTGATCAGTCTCAAACAACTGTTACTGTCTGTGCTCATGATGAGTCTAGATAAGTGGAATGGAAGCCTATTCCAGAAATAGTTGTTCCTGAAACTTTTTCAGGTTGCCTTTCTTCACACACTGCTTTTTGACTGTATTTCTCCTTTCCTTAGACCAGAAACCCCCTCAGGTTACTTTTAGCTTCCTATTGTTAGCACAAAGGATTCCTAACCAGGATTTGGTGGATTTCCAAAACAATTTCCTGATTCAAAAACTCCTACAGCAGTTTTTTTTAAGAACTTGTTTTTAAAAAGAGAACTGACGTGATTCCAGCTTAGTCTTCCTAAATCGGCTTTCAAATGTTTTAATATTTTAACTGTTTAAAAGCATGAGGATAATACTTGTAATACTTCATAAATCCTCAAGAGTCTTAGCTGTCATATGCTGGTTCGTTTTACACGATTTTTCCACTTGCAAGTTATCAGTAGTCATCTCCTAAAACGATACACACAGGCTTAAAGCTGCAAGCAAATTGTAATGCAAAATAACCAGTCTTTCTTTAGTCTTAAAGCCTTGTCATCTTCCTCATTTTAACTACAGCTAATGCAAGAACAATCTCACTTTTTATCAAGGACTGAGGTGTGTGGTCTCAACCTGCCCAAACATGTCCTAAAGAAACGTTTTTCTCAAAGTTCCAGCCAGAACATGAAAAGTCGATACTTCTTGTAAGGGTTAGAGGGGATTTTAAGGAAGTTGTCTAATGGTGGTTTAAAACAAAAGGAAACACCTTCCATAACAAAACTGTGGGTCTGGTTACCATGGGATGTTCAGACAAACCTGAACTCCAGCAAGGGAGAGCTGGAAAACATTTCCTAACAGTGAGGCAATGGGGTCTCTGCCTTTAAAAGATCCTGTAAACAGGTTAAACAACTGAAAAAGCAGAGTTACTTAGACTTGCCTTGTGTTAGGGATCCTACAAACCCTTTTGGGGGGGGAAAGGGGTGAGAAAGAGAGAGAAAGAGATGTGTATATATCTAATCTATTAGTGTATATGTTTTATAGATAAGTTATTAAATATCATGAAATGTAAACATAAACAATGCCACTAAATCAGCAGTGGAGTGTTTCTTACCTCCTAGACTTACATATTATTTTCACAAGCAGTAATTATCAGGTCTGTTTGGGAGGATACAGGATGCTGCAGCAGTTTAAGGCAGGATACCTAGGTGTGCAGACAACTGGTGTTTTTAAAAGGAATCTCAAATCCCTTACAGAGTAATGCTTCCTCCCCCACCACCTTGCCTGTCTTCCCCTAGTTCCCAAGCTACGGGACCCTATGTCCTACTGATGCGCGTTTCCTTTTGTTTTCCCCGGGCTCTGCCGCTCCTGTCCAGGTATGACGTCTATGGAAGGCACAAAGAAGCTGCGCCCGGAGAAGCCGAACGGCTGGAGGATCCCATTCAACCCGCGGGCGGGAGGCTGCGGGGGTGCCATGCGCGCCATGTGCATCGGGCTGCGCTTCTACCACCCCGAGGAGCGGCACACCCTGCTGAGAGTCAGCATCGAGAGCGGCCGCATGACCCACCACCACCCCACGGGCTACCTGGGGGCCCTGGCCTCAGCCCTCTTCACGGCCTATGCGGTGAACGGCGTGCCCCCCCAGGCCTGGGGCAAGGGGCTGCTGGACACGCTGCCGCGGGCGAAAACTTACGTGCGGAACAGCGGCTTCTTCGTGAAGGAGAACATGGAGCACTGGTGAGCTGTGCTCCCAGCACCGCGCTTTCCTAAAGCCCTGCTTACCCTGAAGTGTCAGTAATTCTGTTATGGTAAACTCTAGAGCAGCACATGCCTGCTGTGGGATCAAATCAGTTCAGAATACCTCTGACCTGGGGGGGAAAAAAGACAAAGGCAGCTTGTGTTTGAGTCACGTAGTTGTGACTTTTTTTTGATCCGGTATGAGGTAGGTAGACTTGTCATCTCAAGCAACCATGATCTGATGAAAGAGGTGAAGCAGGGCTGGGGAACAGCATCAGGTTTAGGGCTGAGCTCAGTTTGAAAGTTATAATCAAATGTGGCTGCAGATCCACTGCGGTTCTGGGTGCAGGGGCACAGAGGTAGAGTTACTCTGAATTTGGGAGGATGACTCACCTCTCACTCTGAGCCTTTGAATCCTGTGCAGCACGACAGCAGCAGGTGCTGGGCTGCCTTCTCCCATGTGGCTGGAGGGAGGGAAAATCTAACTCACCGAAACATGTCCTTGTGCCTCTTACTGTAAATCATGTCCCTAGTCTGACCAAGGGGGGACACCTACCATTTAGCCGAGCCATTGCTCCAAGCTCCTGGCATGGCACCTGCGCAGAGCTCAGGTACGTGCTCCTGCCCTGGGACAGCTCTTACAGCCGCTCCATCCCGTCTCCTGTTTTACAGGCAGTACTTTGAAGACCAATGGAGAAGATACCTGGTGAGGAGGGGCATATCAGATGGGGTCTCGTTGCCCACCTTCCCCGCCAAGTACGGCGTGGAAGAGAGGGACAAGTTCTACACATCGCTGAGCTACGACGGCTGGGCGGGCAGCAGTGGGCACGACGCCCCCATGATCGCCTACGACGCGCTGCTGGGCGCGGGCGACTCCTGGACTGAGCTGGCTCTCCGCGCCTTCTTCCACGGGGGCGACAGCGACTCCACTGCTGCCATCGCAGCCTGCTGGTGGGGGGTCATACATGGCTTCAAGGGGGTTCCCCTGCCCCTCTACGCCCACCTGGAGTACAAGGACCGCCTGGAGAAGGTAGCCAAGGGCTTGTACGAGCTCTAGGCAGGGGGCAGCACGGGCGTGCTTACCCACCGCCCCTCCCCGCTTGCTCTGCAGACCCACTGGATTAAAGCTTGTGAGCCTTTTCTCTCTGCATGTGTGTTGGCTTCAGTGGGGAGGCCACGTCGGCTCTCGGTTGGGGCTGGTGGGTGGGGGGAAGCAGTCACAAGGTGGTTTGATGGGAGCACACAGCAGTCCCTTGAGCAGCCAAGCCCCAAGACATCCCTCCTCCGCTGCAGGGCGGCTGCGCATCGTCTGGTCCTCAGGGGGAGCAGGAGCACCCACTGCAGCACTGCTGGTCCTGCTGCAGCAGCAGGACAGGCAGCAAAACTCACTCAGGCTGCCCCAAACCTGCCCATAGGAGTGTGCCAGGGGATCAGGGATGCACACCTGACCACAGGGAGTGTACAGTGGGCTGGCAGAGATGCCTCCTGCCAAAGCTGCAACAGCTCTGGCCCAAGCTTGTCACCTGATACAGGGACACACTGCCACAGCACTGTGCACCTGTGGAGCTAAAACCTCTGCTGCTTAGCACAGAGACCAGAGCAGATGCACCCTAAGGCAACCTACTGTGGGGAGAAGGGGGGATGACAAGAGTTTTGTCATACAATTATTTTAGCAGAGAGTATTTTTTTGTTTTAAACGAATGTGGAAAAAAACCTGCTCAAACCCGACCTGTGTGAGCAGTGCGTTTTGCACAATTCCACAGCACTTCTGCACTGCAGGTAGGGATGCATCATGCTACTTCCCCATTTCAGTCAGTGTGGGAATTCAAGACTCCTGATCAAATCCTTACTCACAGTAAAAGTGGGTAATGAGAATGAACAGGTTGCATTTTGCATCAACTTCTTTAGTGAACTGTATTCTTCTGCTTTCATCAATGTTACTAAAGATTACTTGCTTCACATTTGCTATGCATAATTCTATATAAAAGAAGGGTTTTCTTCAAATCCAGGCTATGACACAGCAAAGTACTTACTGGTTTCGGAGCAATTCAAAAAACAGTGTATCCCATTCAATAAAAAGACCTGACACGCCTCTTAAATGTTATATTCTGTTACGGTATGAATTAAGGGAGATGGAAGGGAGAAGTATGAAGAGCCAGAGGGTGCATGGAGTCTGCAAGCTCCAACCTGCAAGAGAGGAGAAGCTCTACTACGGTGGGAGGAGAGTTAATGCACCAAGGAATGGTGGCAGTGGAAGAGGGAGAGGCTGCCCAAGAGGGGGCCTCCACACCTTTATGCAGGGAGTGCACATAAAGGTATAGCAAAAGCCCAAATCTGACAAAAAGCAGCAGCAATAGGATTCACAATTTCAACACAGTTTACTACAGCTCTCGGGTGTGTTGTATAAAACATGTTTTAGTGCAACATAGTACAAAGTTTTTGTTGTTTTCTTAAAAAAAAAAATCCCAAACATTTTTCCACATCATGCATGGATAGGGTATCTCTCTTTCTTCTCAGGTTCATTACAGAAAGTTACAGCAGAGAGAGTGGTTTGAAAAGCTCCACGTTAAAACTCGTTACAGGAAGAGAGTCTGCCTTATAAAAACAGAGAGAAGTTTGAGACTGGGCAACACACAGCCAGAGCAATGGAGAAATGTCACTGGCAAGGTACATTCAGGGACCAGCGTGGGAGCTGCTTCCCAGGACAGCCTGGGCTCTGTGCAGGAACCACCAGGCTGGGAAGGGACCCGTTCCATCCAGGGGGATGGGGCCATGGGACAGCCCTGCTGCGGGGCAGACAGGCTGGCGAGGAGGAGCGTGGCTCAGACGCAGAGCAGGGCTCTCCCAGGGAAGAATGGCTCCTGCTGACTTCATTTTCTCCCTTGGAGCTGGAATGAGTCGCGGTCCCTGCCCGGGAGCAGTATGTACAGGAGATAGTACATATGAAACAATACCCACTGGCTGCAGCTGCTGCTGTTTGCACCTCGGTTCTTCATTTCCGCTCACTTCTCACCCCACTCCTCTCTTTGCAGACACCTCAGCCAGAAAGGGAAGACAAGTGTGCGGGTGTGCGATACATACATACATATATAGGAGTGTGACTTTATGCATATGCTGGGGCCAGCAAGCAGTTACGTCTCGAGGAGGCAGACTTCACAGAGGGATGAGTGAAATTTGGGCTTCCCAGCAGAAGAAGAAATCTATGCTGTTCTGGTAGAGGCGCAGAGGTGGCCAACTTCAAATGCCTTAGCACGGGTTGATCTGCAGCCACGTGGGTCCTCTCCCACACAGGAGAGGGGCTGCGTGGTGTAGATCTCCTACCTGAAGCTTCACCACCTCTGAAACACCAAGGCATCAGGGTCTGACTAGTGCTACAGAGCATCTGCTGAGGTCCCCTCTGTTCACAAAGAGCAGTCCGACCCTCCCAGAGAGGACAACAGCTGTGGGTATATGGCACCTCTCACACGTGAGGCAGGGGGGGTCTTGTGGTTGTGCCCGTCCACCCCTGGTCGGCTTCAGCCATGCTGCAAAAATACAAATGGCCGGATTTGCCAGGAAGACATCGAGGAAGACAACAAAAGGCCGTTTTTGGCAAACATTTCCTTCCGCCAGACGTAACGCTTAGGCCGTAGGGGGGAGGAGGCGGTTTCCTCCACAGGACAGGGCAGGGGTTCTTGGCATCAGGGGTACAGGAGTTCAGGTGCCCCACGTGGCGAGAGCCCTGGTTTGGTTCATGAGAGCCATATCTTTCACAGAAAGAACAGCATTTCCTGCCACAGCGGCTCTTACAAGAGCAGGTGACTTTGCCAGGAGGGGGAGCTTACGGAGAAATGGTTTTTCCTCCTGAAGTCCCAGAAACGAAAATCAGCAGATGCACACACACACAGGGGAAGATTTCTCTTGGCCAAAGGGCAGGGAAGCCTCCAGGGTGCTGATGTGCTGCAGGCTCCTTGCCTTGTCCAGGCTTGCACCAGGAAGTAGTGCAAGCCACAGGAAAACTCGTGACCCGTGGTGGTGAACTGCATGTCCCCGCTGCATGGCACGTTTGCTACTGGGCTCCTTGGCTGAACCATCTGGGGACTGTGAACACAACCCGTGGAGCTTCCCCTTTCCTCCTTCCTAGAGTCATTACTTTGGTCATGTTGAAGCCTTCAGAGACTGGATCAAGCCTCTCATCCCCAAACGACTGGGGCACAGAGGGGATCTGCCTCATCAGAGGTGGCAGCATGGACACCAGGGAGGAACATGGCTCTGGTAAGCTGGACCACATGAGGACCCTCTTTGCTACCAACCAAGTCAGGGCTTTCAGGTGTCCTCCTTCCTTTCCCCCCTTCAGTTCTTTGAGACACACTAAACTGCTTTTGTCCTGATCACAAGCACTCTGAATGTTCAGTCTCTCCAAGACCTGGGAACGCTCCCAAAAGGTGAACTGCTCCCTCCTGAGAGAACAGTAAGGTGGACACAAGAAGAGGCTGAGGCTACAGCCAGTCTTTGCAATGGACCTCCCAGAAGACATCCCAGTTAACCCCTCTGGGGATAGACCTGGCTTTGTCTGTTTTGGAAGAGCACACCTTGAGAAAAGACCTTCTTCATCATGGCACTGAGTCTGAGAAGGAAAAACAGTCTGTTTTGGAAAACAGACTTCCATTTACTTCCAAAGAGATTGTCCGAGGACCAAACGACCCCTGGGAACTCCACACTGTGTGGAGGGCAGGGGAAGCCTACAGTTCTCTGTGTGACTGAAAAAGAAACAATAAAAAAGTAACAGCCCAAAAGACAGCAACTGATGGGAGTAAAGTGAGTCCAAGAGGAACATCCTCTATGTACAGCAAGTGCCTCTGTTCATCGGGATGAGGGGGTGCATTTCCCGGGTGCTGGAAGAAGTCTTGGACCTTCCCGCTCCTGCTGGCTGGGCACCCCACACAGCTCAGCCTCTGCATCAGAGCACAGACAGGGAAACAAATGAAACAAGAACAACAAAACCCACTCTGTTCCTTGGGGTTCCCAGTGTGTCTCTGCTTTCTTCCCTCTGTGCGTCCCCCCAGGTGCCTCTGCCTCTTTAGTCCATGGTTCCCGGGTGGATGCTGAGCACTGGTGGCTCCAGGCAAGTGGGAGAGTAGTTGAGGTGGGGCTCCTTGATCCACAGCAAGGGGACCCCGTTCTTGCCCTCTGAGTTCTTGCTGGAGTTTCGGCTCTTGAATCGCACCAGGAGGATGGTGATGATCAAGATGCCGAAGATGGGGAAGGGGTAGAAGAACACGAAGTAGAAGAGGGCGTCGTTGGAGCAGATGACTGACTGCAGGGTGGAGCCTGGAAAGAGACAGAGGACGGTCACATTTCACTGTTTGTTCCTAACGCAGGGCACACAAACTTCTTCAGAAATGTTAAAAATCAGACGCTCATTAATCTGTGTCAATGCAGGAGGTGGGGCTCTGAGAAAAATACCAATGTTAGAAAACAGAGCAACAGAAGAAAGTTATCACAGGGCATGTTTCAGCTTTACCCCCAAGAATCTAATGAGTGATACAGTCCTCCCTGGTGGAGATTTTATAATATCTTAGAAAGTGAGGAGCCTTGCAAAGCCTTGATTTCCTCAGTGGTGCTACACAAAAGCAGCAGCACCCCAGAGTACCTCCCTTAAGGGCCCACAAAACCCTCATGACCTCAGTTATCTCTGGGGCCTCTACACCGCCCAAGACTCTTGTGCCACAGCCTGCACCCCTGTGCAGAGCTAATCCAACTTCCAGGGTGTTTCCCAAAGCGAAGGGTTAAACCTCAGTGGGGGACAAAGTCTGCCCCTACTGAGTGAGACACAGCAGGTGGTAAGTGCCATGGGCTGGGCAGCCCCAGCACAGAGCTCAGTGCAGTGTGGATACTCCAGCCAAAGCAAGAGCTGGGCAATGAGCCATCGAGCTGATTTGGAAAAGCACTAGTACCACAGACCTGCCCTGGTGCAGGTGAGACCCAGGTCCCACTCGCTCCTTGGCCCTTTTCTCTTGGCTGAACCGAAGACGCAGGGGATGGCAGGGCCACGACCCCAGGGCAGTCATCACCTCTCCTCACCTGCGCCCTGCACGTGAACAGCGACCGTGCCCGACTCCTCCTCTGCCAGCCGGTACCACACGCCGTTGGGGTCTGCCAGCCACTC